CAAACACTGCTGAATTTTTATTTTTTTAACCATGAATTACTTTCAAATTTTTTAGAAATTTAATCCAGGCAAACTAGAGGTCAATGAGACTTTTCTACATGGTTTCCTAGAAGAATAACTGAAAGATCAAGCAGCCTGAGACCCAGGGAATATTAAAGGAAGGGATAGCGGTTAGCTTGAGCCCATAAGGAAGTCACAACAATAGAAGAGGGACAGAGAAATAACTTGCTATCTCTCTCCCCTGCTCCCCCTTTAAGCTACTTCTATCATCAAGAGAACATTTTCTTGGGTACTTTTTAATACTCATTTCTACCTATATCACCAAATAAAATAAGATGTACAAAAATATTCCTCATACACTTGTAGAATGCATATACAACAAATCAATCCTATCTAGTAGGTATTATTTAATGATTTGTAATAGTAGTTACAAACCAATAGTCCTCTAAATTTAATAGCAGCCTTATGCACATTTATAAGATAAACCCACCTAAGCCAAACTTTAGAGATTCATAAAAGTATAAAGTGTTTTAAAAGCTAAGATATATTAGAGTCAGTCCAGCGGGGAGGTGGAAGGCAGCCAGCAGGAAAAAAAAAAATGAAAAATAAAGAGTCAGTCCAGATTTGAAAGTGCACTCTCTTTATAAGGCTATTCCTACTAAGAAAGATACTAACACTCAAGCTAAAGACTTCTACAACAAATGTGACAGATTCACTTCACTGATGCAAGGCGGGGAGAAGTAATGAAACCAAAAGGAAGGAGTCCCAAAGCAGATTTATGCCATGAAGAAACAGCCTGACTCCAGTCTCTTGAGATGCATTTGGAAAAGCACCAGTGGAAACACTTCACATGACTTCAATCTCCAGGAAAATGCAAAAAGTGGGTAAAGTAATTTCTCAATATCAGGCTCCCCAGACAGCTTGGAATTCAACAAAGAGATCAAAAACATAAAAGATGTGGCAAAGGGCACACAGGTAGCAGAAACCTATGGTGTTTGTAATGACAGAGATGGGAATACATTTACACATTGTTCAGGGCTCTCATATCAAACACACATGTTGTTACCTAAGATGGAGTTTTTCTAGCCCAGCATCTGCAAGGTCATCATTGGCCCTTTGATGAATATCCCTCTGTGTTTCTATTTTGTGATCATCAGACAGACCATCAACTTTGTGAATAAAAACCTCAAAATTCATGTCTGGGTTAACTTTGTAGGCTTTAGAAACAGTAATGTGAAGTCTTGTTAAAGCCTCCATGTAGTCATCCTGTAAGTCAGAACAAAATATTTTTTTAAAAGAAATCTTACAAAAGTCAAGTAATGAGTTAAAGCCTCAAACCACCTCTTTCCCCAACCACAGAAAAATACTACCCTAATTATCATCCATATTCAAACATTCAAATATATTAACTATACTACTAAATAACTCTTCAATTGTCTCAACATAAAAAAATTCAATTACCAAGTTAATGCTTGTAATTTTTAATACTAATTTAAGAAAGGAAAAAGGAAATGAACATTTCTTTCCAACATAATTTTTTTAAGTAATCCCAGCTCTGCCATTTATTCAGTGTGTCACTCTAAGCAAGTTGATTAAACTCTGATCTCAGTTTACTCATCTGTAAGATCAGAATTACAATACCTAACCATATTGTGAAGATTAAATTAATTAGATCCTGTATGTGAAGGCACCCTCTGTACAGCCTATCACTCAGAAAGCATTCTTAACTAATGCTTAAGCTTATAAAAAGTAAGCTTCTTAAAGGATAGGGACTTGCCCCATTCATCTCACTGACTGCCACATGCTAGGCCCTCCATAAATGCTTGATGAGCTAAGCTCAGTTCTGACAATTAAGTAAACTATTCACTCTAATACCTACTGACTCAGTTCTCATATTCTTCTTTATGTTATGAGATGGGATCTTTTCAGGGAATGACGCCACTATTATAAAATATAGCAACATCTACCATTAACCAATAAAAGTGGAAAGCCAATGTTAGCTGCTCATGAACTAGGACTCAAGGATGTAAACCACATTTCCTAATCATCTGATACTCTGTACCTGCACAATGGCATGTCTGCTCCCAAAGCACCTCTGCAACTGCATCTCTTACACTGTTAGGGAATCTACTGCCAAAGAAATAAGCTGCAAGCACATGACAAAGAAGATAAACAACTTTCCTTTGTTTCTACATCTTTTTCCCACCAGGGAAGAGAAGTAAACACATTACTAACTACCTGTGCGTCAATGACGTATATCAATGCTCCTGTTCCCCTGAAGATCATCTCATAGTCAAAGGTTGGGTCAAAAAAGTCCATTTGCCCAGGAAAATCCCATATCTGGAAATTCACAAAGGAGCTATTGGAAATGTCATCCTTATAAATCTTGTTGGTACTTTCCAAAAACAGGGTCTCGTTGGGTGACATCTTATGAAACACCACCTGTTAAAAGAAAACGGGCAATTTTATGACTATTAAACTTAAGACTTTAAATTTAAAATTCCACCCTGGTTTAACATTTAAACATCTGATCCCATAGCAAAAAAAAAATTTGAAAAGTAGAAACTGAAGGGTGAATCCATTGGTATTCACTATCCCTTTATTTTCGACAAAAGAAGACACCAAATTAATTTCAATTAAATCTATTTTGGAGCTGAATCTTTTCTATGTTCTATGCACTGTACTCAGTTCTAACAGCAGGAATCTTTATCACCTCCATTAGCTTTTCTGGGAGAAAGTTAACGTTAATTCTGTCAAAATCTGCTTTAAGATTATGAAAGCCTTACAGCTAAAGCTTAAGAAGTCTGTTTTATTCAAACATTACTTAAATGCCTACCTCAGGCTCTGAGGAGTAATTTAAAAACTGAAACAGACTGGACTCTGCCCTCACTGACTTTGCAGTCTAAGAAGGGCAGTGACTATACCAAGAAGAAAGTGAAAACGTCCAGCGGGAGGCCATGGGGACGGACAGGGAAAAGATAGCTCCCATGAGAAAAGAAACATAAAGGCATTTGTTAAGAATCACAATAATCGGCCCAGTTTGGTGGTTCACACCTGTAATCCCAGCACTTTAGGAGGCCGAGGCGGGCGGATCACTTGAGGTCAGAAGTTCGAGACCAGGCTGACCAACGTGGTGAAACCCCATCTCCACTAAATATACCAAAAGTAGTCGGGGGTGGTGGTGCAAGCCTGTAGTCCCAGCTACTCGGGAAGCTGAGGCAGGAGAACCGCTTGAACCCAGGAGGTGGAGGTTGCAGTGAGTGGAAATCACACCACTGCCCTCCAGCCTGGGCAACGAGCAAGACTCCATAACAAAAAAATAAAAAATAAAAAATTCACAATAATCACAACCTACACAGTCCTAACATAAAACTACTTTGCCTCTAACTTACTTTCTAGAAGAGAAAAATGAACAACTACTCTCAAGGTTTTCTCAGTAACAAATGTGAATAACTAAAATTAGTTTGCTAAAAACCTACAGTCAACGTACCCAAGTTTTGCTGTAGAGGTGAAAATCAAGGTAAATAAAACACAGTACTCCAAGAAATCTGGAAGAACGCTGTTCTTTAAAAAGATCCCATCTACAAAATATCACAGATTCAGAAAGAAAGAAAAATCACAGATTTATTGCGGATAGGCCTTTGCAACAGAGTGGAGAGGTGAAAAGACCACATGCCTGCTGATACCAGTTTCATTACCAGCTCACTCCGCGTGTAATGGGTTTGGCTGATGCTGGAAGTCAATCTTGCCTTTATTTAACCCTTACTAAACAGTGTAGGCTGGCATGGTGGCTCACGCCTGTGATCCCAGCACTTTGGGAGGCTGAGGACGATCACTTGAGGTCAGCAGTTCGAGACGACCCTGGCCAACATGGTGAAACCCCGTCTCTACTAAAAATACAATAATTAGCAGGGTGTGGTGGCGCGCGCCTGAAATCCCAGCTACTCGGGAGGCTGAGGCCGGGATAACCGCTTGAACCCAGGAGGTGGAGGTTGCACTTAACCGAGATTGCGCCACTGCATTCTCCAGCCTGGGCAACAAAGCGAGACTCCGTCTCAAAAACATAAACAAACAAACGTGTACAGCCCTTCATTTGTTCACGAAAGCCCAAAAGTGAAAAGCAAACTAGGTCCGCAAAATATTCTCAAAGTGTCAGATTTTTATAAACACACCCCTACAGAGGGTAATATCACCAGTAATTACAGTCACCAGGCCACAACTACTGAAATGGGTGCAATCTCACTACCCAACTCCCAGTAATGTTACAGCGAAGTCTCTCCTTCACATCAGTAGCGAGAATTACAACGCCCAGTGTCTTAGTCACAACTCTTTCTGACGCTGCTCCCTGGGGCTCTGCTGGGAATCCCTGCACACTCAGGTCACCTGAACTGAGAGCAAATCAAAACGGGCCAGGGGAGGGAGTCCACGAAGTTCTCCAAGTGAGAACTGGAGAGTGCGTCTCAGTTTCGTAAATGACACAGGAGCTGGGTCCCAGGGGGCGGAGGTCTTGGGCGGTGCCACCGGGCACCTGCCTCCCTGCAGCCAGTTTCGCCTTCAGCGCTCCACTTGGCCTCAGCTGACTTGGGCGTGGACGCAGAGGTCGGGGTCCCCGCACGGGCCGCGCCTGTGCGCTCGCAAGAGTGGAAGAGAAAGTGCGGAGGGACGGAGCGCAGGCGGGCCCCGGCCGCCGCCCTCCCGGGCGTCCCCGCTACCGGCCACCTGAGCTCCGGAGAGGGGGCGGGGGACAGGGCGCAGCCCCGCTCACCTTCTGGATGGAGGACTTGCCGCTGCGCCGGAGTCCCATGAGCAGAATCCTCGGCTTAGAGCTGTCAGCGCCCCCCGGGCCACAGCCTCCGCCTGCCCCTGCCCCAACCCCGCCGCCCGCCGCCGCCGCCTCCTCTTCCTCCTCCTCCACGCCGTAGCCGAAGTCCTTTGGAAACGAATCGGCCGCGCCGTAACTGCCGGCGAGGGGCGTCTCCTCCGCCCCGTACTGCAGGGACATGGTGCTGGAGCCGCCGCCGCCCGCGCCCTGACAGGCCAGGCCAGGCCGAGCCAGGCCGCCGCCTCCCCAGTCCGCCTCCGCCGCCGCCGCCACCGCCACCGCCGCCGCCCCCGGCAGCCGCCACCGTCCGGCCCGCCCCCCAGAGCCTGGCTCTCATAGGGCCCGAGCCGAAGTCCAGCCGCTCATTGGCCGTCCGAGCTGCCACTCGAGAGCAGCAGGGTAGGTGGTGCCCCGTCACGTGCCGGAATCACCTGACTAGCAGCCGCGGAGGGGGGAGGAGGAGTCACGAGGAGGGCGGCTCGGCCGCGCCTCTTGCCTGTGATCGGGCCCTCAGCCCTCCGCCCCGGCCCGCATGCACCGCTGTCCGCACTGCTCCCCTGCCTTCTTCCGGGCTCCCAGAGCACCGCTATGGAGATGCTCTCCCGGCATTTGAGGGAAGAATTGATTATCCTCATCCTGCAACTGTACTTTCCCAACCGATATTTGTTGATGCCTGCCGTGTCCTGGGTACCTACCAAGGGGCACAGAACTGGATCCGACTCGGACCCTGCCTGCCCTCAGGTTGCTTGAAGATGAACAGAGAGATCGGACCTCTGCGTAAGTAACCTCGCTACGAAATATTATGTGGGAAGGTCACGGATAAATAATGCTCGGGAGTTGGATGAGAAAGCGTCTGAGCAGATCTAGGTGGATGGATAGATTGGGATGTGCAAAGAAAGGTATGGGGGAGCCAGCCACACTGAGGGCAAACCTCAACCAAGGCAGAGTCACGGGTCACCGTGACTTTGTTCTAGCAGGTAGCTGGACCCTGATAGGAAAGCAGATGCAGCCAAGCTAAAACATCTTACCTTCTTTCTTCAGTAAGTCTCCGATAGTGGATACTGCTGCCACTTCAAACCCAACGGGACTCAATTTGCCCTCCTTCCCGCCTTGTCAAAGTCTACTCCAGGAATTCCATCCCCCATAGAACACTGCCTCTTCTATGACCTCGTTCAGATTAGAGATCAAAGTATTGAATAATGAAAGCAAACAAAAGCAAATGCTTGTCACCAAGTATGTCCGAGAAATCTAGAGGAATTTTTATCTTTGACAATCAGGCTCTAGAACTGGAACTTTGACAAGAGGATCCTCTTAAAGCACAGCCCTATACGCACATGCGGGAAGGTATAGGACTTTGGTTTTGTCTAAACCCGTAAGTTAGAGGTAGGATACACCCTTAGAGGTCATCTAGCCCAACCTCTGACCCAAAACGAACCAACTCTATAGTGTCTAATAGACATGCAGAATGCACTTAAACAGTTCGAAGGGAAAAGAGCTCACCATCTCGAAAGGCAGCCAACTCCACCGTGGTAAACTTTTGTTTAAAAATTTCTTGAAGTCGGCCGGGCGCGGTGGCTCACGCCTGTAATCCCAGCACTTTAGGAGGCAGAGGCGGGTGGATCACGAGGTCAGGAAATCGAGACCATCCTGGCTAACACGGTGAAACCCCGTCTCTACTAAAAATACGAAAAAAATTAGCCGGGCGAGGTGGCGGGCGCCTGTAGTCCCAGCTACTCGGGAGGCTGAGGCAGGAGAATCGCGTGAAACCAGGAGGCGGAGCTTGCAGTGAGCCGAGATCGCGCCACTGCACTCCAGCCTGGACGACAGAGCGAGACTCTGTCTCAAAAAAAGTATTAAAGTCAAACCACACTCCCTGAAGCCTAATAGAATAAAATAGGAATAGTCTTCATCTTTTTCATGACAGCACTTCAAATACCAAATTGCAGTATTCATTACCCACTAAGTCTTCTCTGTTCCTTGCTGAACATCCTATTTCAACCATTCTATGGTGCTATTCAATACAACTGATATACATGATAGACATGTTATTTTTCTGCAGTCAAACATGTAGCCGCTAGTCCTATGAGGAATGAGCACTTGAAATGTTGCTAGTGTAACTGAGGAACTTTTTTTTTTTTGAGACGGAGTCTCGGTCTGTCTGTCGCTAGGCTGGAGTGCAGTGGCACGATTGCAGCTCACTGCAACCTCTGCCTCCCGGGTTCAAGCGATTCTCCTGCCTCAGCCTCCTGAGTAGCTGGGACCACACGCGCCCACCACCACGCCCAGCTAATTGTTGTATTTTTAGTAGAGACAGGGTTTCACCATGTTGGCCAGGATGGTCCCTGTCTCTTGCCCTGCATTCAATCTTGTCAATTTCATCAAACATCTGACTCCTACAAAGCAATACTAAACAGTACAACTTTCAGAATGACCATTTAACACCTAGACAATATTTCTATTTGTACTTTCCAGAATGGAATTTTTTTTAAGGATCCATAGAGTGGTTCACATTGATAATCACTGGAACTAACACTTTGTCAGCAATCCTAGTGCCTAAATGTCTATAGCTGCATTTCTGAACCTAAACGTTAAGACTTGATACTTCAACTTTTTGGTTTAGGCCCAGCAGTTTGGGTATTCCACGTGGTTAATCATTTTAAAGCTTGTTTCAATATAGTCTTCCAAACAGACTTTCCAATTTGTGTCACAGATTTGGCACTACCATCTGGTCTGTATGTAATCCTTTACAGTTTGCAAGGCACTTTTACATCCGTTATATTTAATTTGATTCTTACAACCACCTTGTGAGGTAGGCAAGATGTGAAGTTGATATTTTATAGACAAAGCAACAGAAGCATAACAGGAGCTTAACTGGTGGGATCCATTCTCTCTTCCATCGAGCATCTTGTGGTATATTGTCTTCATCCAAATCCTTGACAGAAATGTTGAAGAGGACCTCTAGAGTCTAGGCTGATCCTGAATTCTTAAATAGCACTGACTGTTACAGCAGTTTAAGCAAGTCAGTTTCACCTAAAAGTGTGATTATCGAACCCACATGTTGCCTTTCTGTTCAAAAAGGATAGTACCAAAGACAGTCACAGTCACCTGGCTTACTGACATAAATATTAATACTAATCCAATGAGTAAAAAGCACATGAGGATTGGCTGCCACAAAAAAATTTCAACCTGTATCTACCAAAAAACTGTCACACCAACTAAAGAAGCCAAGTCTCCCTCTCTTCCAAAACCCTCATGGAGCCATGCTTTATTATAATGGTCTGTCACAGGTCCTAACCCACACTGTATTTGATTATATAGTCTCATAATTAAGTCATTCCTCTTTATCACACCCAGCACTTAGTCCACTGCTGCCCATGTAGGAGGTACTCAAATTGGTAAAAGAGAAATCTATTCAAGCGAATGATCTTCTGGGCCCACTCCAAAAACAAACTTGTGACTTGAAGAGGCACCACCAGCCATAGCCACATTCCTACTAACAGGGCTGATTTAAATGCCCTTATAATTGGCTTGGCCATAGTCTCCAACAGGTGCCAAGGCTTTTGCTAGTTAAACCAGTTTTCATTGGATCATTTTGTTTTCTATGTGTTTTGACCAAAAACAAAGAAAGGTTCTCTAACAAGAGAGAGAGAATATATGAAATAGGAATATGTCTATAAAATGACAGTCTTATCAGTAAGGAAAATAAGTGATCAATAAAACAAAACATCTGACTGTAGGTCTACCCAAAGAAAGGAAAAAGGACTAACAAACAAGAATATAGTGCTTTACCATTTACAAATCTTTCACATACATTCTCATTTGACCCTCACAACAACCCTGTGAGGTAGGCATCACGGATATTCTACTCATTAAACAGATGAAGACAGTAAATCTTAGAGCAGTTCACTGATATGCCCAAGGCTCTACAGTTAGTGAGTGATTTGTATTAATATCAGTCTTTGGCCTAAAAATTCAGCACCCCTCTTCCCCTCATACTTGTCCCACCTACTTCACAGGGATTATATAATGAAGATAAAATGAATTCAAGACTAGAAAAATACTTTGAGGGAGAAAAGCACTATATAATTATACCTACAAACTATGATTTTCCACAATATATGGCTCATTCCTCTTCTCATCTCAGCTTGTGTGTGAACCCAGAGTTGTATATTGCCTCTGTCCTGTGCTCAGTAAGCAAATAAGGCAGGCAGGGGGTACAGTGTGATCCTGTTTAAAGTTACATAAATTACAATAAGGGTAACTGCTATTATTAGGCAAATTGAAAAACAGCACAGAAAGGCCAGTGTGCAACTAGGACCCACTAAAGCTTAGAGCAAAGCAATGCAAGATTATCAGACAAGGCATGATTGCATAGAAGGAAAATGTGGTGTCAGAGTTCAAACTGGCACACACACACAGTTATCTAAGGCAAAGTGGTGGCAAAGAAGTTATTTGTTCCATGTTACACAAACAAGAGCAAAAGATTCATGGGAACCTGTACAAAAGCATCTTGTGTCACACAGATCTCTCCAGCTGCCTATAGGGAATATACACAACAGTGTCACCTTCAAAGAATGACTGTACCTGTGTTCATATCCTGAACTATACCAAGGAATAGCTCCATGCTAAACTGTCTTGGCTAAAATACAACCAGTGCCATCATTCCTAATCAGACTAATAAACAGAATGTCTTTTAAGGTAATGAGTTAGATGGCTGTGTTTAGGTTTTTTCCAGGATTTACTTTGGATTCTCCTGCTTTAAGACCCAAAGAAAGTTATATTGAGTTTTTATTGATGATTCTATGTGTTTTTAACAGAGTGTGATAGGTGAATTAAACATATTAAAAGAGTTCTATAGCATCTGTTCAGAAAAGATTATATACTATACAAACTATTCAAGTCATACAAAACCATTTTTCATTGTCTTTTCAACTGAGAAGAATCCTATTCAGCACGCTTCTCCTCCTGAGGTGGTTCATACTGAGCAAGCTATGGGGCAAAGACAGAGGAATTTAGGTGAATTTCATTCTAAATTGGGTAAAAAATAGAAAAACAAGATAACTATTCAACTAGTTATCAAGCCAGTAAATGGTATTTATATCAGTTTCTATAACCATCCATTTTAAATCCTTCAGTGATTTAAGATTTAATACAATCGAATCTAATGAAAGCCCTTTTCATATAAACCTTTAAAATTGCTTTGAAACTAAAATTTCATTCCAGATCATGACTGTACTGTTCAAATACTTGATATGCAATAAACTGTATCTTCCCAAAGATTCATTTGCTTATAAGGAACTTTCTTCCTCTCCACCAAAAGTTTACTGAAAATACCCACTGAAAAGTAGATAAAGAGTTAGGTGACATGTCTTAACTTAGCCAATAAACAACTACTAATGTCTTTGAGTTAAAAGGTTCCAAAGAGTTAACTAGCATTACACATTGTGGAACCTTGGATAATTTAAAATAAATGCATTTTATTTTATGCTAAGTGTGGTTCCTTGCAAGAACACCAGGCTAACATTAGGGTTCTGCCAACTACCTGTTGGAGTTGAGAAGCTTATTAGACTTCACTGTGCTTTCGTTTCCTCGCCTACAAAGTGGCTTGTGTACTTGTTTCACTTATCTCACAAAGTTGTTGAGAAGATAAATTATGAGAAATACTCAGAGTAAGGTAAAATACATTATGTGATTAAGAACGTTTTAAGACCTCAAAGACTTAAGAGTTGATTAACTTGAAGTTCATGAAAATTCTCACAGGACTTTGAAAAAAGAAAAAACTGGCTGGGTGCGGTGGCTCATGTCTATAATCCCAACACTTTGGGAGGCCAAGCTAGGAGGAACGTTTGAGCCCATGAGTTTGACACCAACCTGGGCAACATAGCGGGACCCCATTTCTAAAAAAATTTAAAAATTAGCCAAGCATGGTGGCAAATGCCTGCAGTCCCAGCTACTCAGGAGGCAGAAGTCGGGGGATTGCTGGAGCCTGGGAAGTCAAGGCTGCAGTGAGACATGACTGCACCACTGCACACCAGCCTGGGTAACAGAGACCCTGTCTCAAAAAAAGAAAGAAAAAACTTTAGCACTAGATAAAATTAACTCCTAACAAATTTACAGAGGGCCACCACATATGGCCTTGCAGACTATGAACTGTACACATTCTAAGAGGTACCATTTACAAAGCAGTGGCCCCATATTGGCCTACTTAAAATCAACTGCTTAAGAACTTCAGAACTGACCATTTACTTATAAAGAGCATTAACCAATATTCTCATCCTTTTGTTGATGCTGGTTCCTAAGAACCTTTTTTTTTTTTTTTTTTGAGATGGAGTTTCATTCTTGTTGCCTAGGCTGGAGTGCAGTGGCACGGTCTTGGCTCACTGCAACTTCCACCTCCCGGGTTCAAGCAATTCTCCCGCCTCAGCCTCCCAAGTAGCTGGGATTATAGGCATGCACCACCAAGCCCGGCTAACTTTGTATTTTCAGTAGAGACAGGGTGTCTCCATGTTGGCCAGGCTGATCTCGAACACCCGACCTCAGGTGATCTGCCCACCTCGGCCTCCCAAAGTGCTGGGATTATAGGCGTGAGCCACCACACCCGGCCAGACCTCTTTTTGACCACACTTTGCTTCTTTGCTTGTCCTATTTCCAGTATGTCTTGTGGTTTTCTTTTTTTCTTTTCTTTCCCCCTCCGCGAGATGAAGTCTTGTTCTGTCACCCAGGCTGGAATGCAGTGGCACAATCTCGGCTCACTGGAATTTACACCTCCCGGGTTCAAGTGATTCTCCTGCCTCAGCCTCCCGAGTAGCTGGGATTACAGGCACATGCCACCATGCCTGGCTAATTTTTGTATTCTTAGTAGAGACAGGGTTTCACCATGTTGGCTAGGCTGGTCTTGAACTCTTGACCTCGTGATCTGCCCACCTTGGCCTCCCAAAGTGCTGGAATTACAGGCATGAGCCACCACGCCCAGCCTGTCTTGTGGTCTTCTAGACACAGCATAACTTTGGCCTTTGCAATTAATTCAAATTGATATTCACCCACCTTCCTCCCCTCCTGTCCATTTTAGTGAGGTTTTCATCATATAATTATTACAGGTAAAATTATCTTCACATGACTTATTTTTAAAATTTTACCTTTGCTTTCAGTTTTTTATTTTCTTCTACAATAGCTTCATATTTCTCTTTCATTTCAGCCAGTTCTAGGCGAAGCAGCTCTATTTCTGGATTCTCTGGGGTAGCAGCTCCTAAGTGATGCTTTAAAAAACTATTATCAATGTTAAGAACTTACTTATTAGACATGAATGAAACTAATGAAATAGCACAGAGTAGTATCAATATCCCTGACCAGAGTCACCCACTTTACCACCAATATCTACCCAGAGATCACCATCCAAAAACTCAAGTGAAAGTAACTTTCTCGGCCGGGCATGGTGGCTCACGCCTGTAATCCCAGCACTTTGGGAGGCCAAGGTGGGCAGATCATGAGGTCAGGAGTTTGAGACTAGCCTGACCAACATAGTGAAACGCTGTCTCTACTAAAAATACAAAAAATTAGCTGGGCATGGTGGCGGGCACCTGTAATCCCAGCTACTTGGGAGGCTGAGGCAGGAGAATCGCTTGAAGCCGGGAGGCGGAGGTTGCAGTGAGCCAAGATCACACCACTGCACTCCCCACCAGGCAACAGTGCAAGACTCCGTCTCAAAAAAAAAAAAACTAACTTTCTCAATATTCAGAAGTATTTTAAAGGTTATTATCTATCTAAAAAATAAGAGTTTCAAAATAAAGCCTTTTTCTGACTTGAAAGATGAAAGGATACTCCAAAGCACTGTTAGGTTTCTCTGGTTCTTCATATAAGGCTACCAACACTGCAAATCAAAAAGCAGAAAAAGCAACAATTGACGTATTCAATTTGAATGGCTGAAATTATATTCCATTACCCAGTAAATATTAGGTGCCAACTATATGCTGAGCACGTTGCAAAGACTATACAATGCTGAACAAGACAGACAAGGTCCCTGTTCTCAACAAATTTACAGTCAAGCGTAAAAGATATGCAAGGAACTAGAGGGTATCAAGCAGTAATACTGGATAATGGGTTACGATAGCACACTGGAAGAACACCTAAGCAAGCCTAGGACATCAAGGAAGGATTCCTAAAGGAAGGCAAAGACCTGATACCTAGGGGATGAGTGTTTTAAAATGGGAAGGCCCAGGAGCAAGAAAACAATGTATTGAGGAACTGAAAATTCAAGTATGGCTGGAGATGTAATTTGGCAGGAAAGGAAGCTGGAAAGGTGGTCATGGCCACATTATGGAGGGTCATGCAAATTTGGTTGGCATATAATTAAACAGTTTTAAGGAAGGGAGTGACAGGATCCACTCTTAACTGCTATGTGAACCAGCTGGAGTGGGATGAGGATAAAGACAGGAAGAACGGTTAAAAGGCTGATGTGGTAATCCAGTTTAAAAAGACAGCAACCTGCAGTAGAGTGATGGGAGTGATAGAACAGTGAGAAGAAAGAAATTCGAGAATTTAGGAAAGAATCAACAGGACTATGGTAATTACTGGAAGACGCTCTGAATTCAAACATGGTCTTAAAAGTGAAGTTTGTTTTGCTAAATAACCACTAATCAAAAATTTTACCTGTAGTCAACATGCTCAAATCAACATTAAAATAAGATATACTTGAGTGGTTTCATATCTAATCACTCATATGAGCACTGCCTTGCTCTTCATCTATGGAACAAATTCTTCCTAGAATTTACTACTTCGATAAAAAAACTCTAATTTAGTGGTTGGCCTTTTTGTGCATGGAACCCTTTGAAAAATTTAATAAAAGCAAAAAAAGCAACCACACACAAAAAAATGTGGCTGGGCGCAGTGGCTCACGCCTGTAATCCCATCACTTTGGGAGGCCGAGGCGGGCAAATCACCTGGTCAGGAGATCAAGACCATCCTGGCTAACACAGTGAAACCCCGTCTCTACTAAAAATACAAAAAATTAGCTGGGCATGGTGGCCAGCAGCTGTAGTCCCAGCTACTCGGGAGGCTGAGGCAGGAAAATGGCGTGAACCTAGGAGGTGGAGCTTACAGTGAGCTGAGATCATGCCACTGCACTACAGCCTGGGCAACAGAGCAAGACTCTGTCTAAAAGAAAAAAAAACAGTGATAGATATCTAGACCTCAAGTTAAGTCCTGTTGTAAACCAACTTACATACTTCTTTTGTTTTAGAGTTTTAACAACTTACCAAAATAATATACAGTATGAAAAAATCAAATGGGCAACTATTTTTAACAACTTACATTGAGTTGTGATAGTTACTCTTCATCTAAATACACTTAACGGCACTATTTTTTGAGAAATTCGTTGTTTTTGTTTGTTTTTGAGACGGAGTTTCGCTCTTGTTGCCCAGGCGGGAGTGCAAAGGCATGCAATCTCCGCTCACCACAACCTCCGCCTCCCAGGTTCAAGCGATTCTCCTGCCTCAGCCTCTCTAGTAGCTGGGACTACAGGCATGCACCACCATGCCCGGCTAATTTTGTATTTTTAGTAGAGACGGGATTTCTCCATGTTGGTCACACTAGTCTCGAACTCCCGACCTCAGGTGATCCGCCCTCCTCAGCCTCCCAAAGTTCTGGAATTACAGGCATGAGCACCCAGCCAAATCCTAATTTTATAAGACATGAATATTAATACTCTTTCCTCTCCTCTTATTCCCCCACCCCATTTCTCTCGGCTTCTAATTTCTGTCAGTGGTACTTACAAGGTTGATCATTGCAGAAGATACTGTAAATACTAAGTTTCCTGTGTTTTTCTATAAATGAAATGCACTTCCTTCTAATCAGACAAGAACTCTATACCCAATCGTGCACCCCTTTTTGCCTTCGTAGCCAGGATTTTTAGAGGTTGATATACTGCTCAAAATAGCTAAAATGCTTCAGCTTCCAAATGATTTATCATCTTTATCTTTAGCCATCCTTTCATAGTGTTTTAATGTTATAAACTATTTCAAATCATCTTGGAAATAAGCTGTAAAAAATTTAGGCCAGACACAGTGGCTCATGCCTGAAATTCCAGCACTTTGAGAGGCCAAGGCAGGAGGATTGCTTGAGATCAACCTGGGCAAAACCCCGACTTACCCAAAAAAAAAAAAAAAATTGGTCGGGCATGGTGGCTCACGCCTGTAATCCCAGCACTTTGGGAGGCCTAGGCAGGCGGATCACGAGGTCAAGAGATCAAGACCATCCTGGCTAACACAATGAAACCCTGTCTCTACTAAATATACAAAAAATTAGCTGGGCGTGGTGGCGGGCACCTGTAGTCCCAGCTACTTGGGAGGCTGAGGCAGGAGAATGGCATGAACCCGGGAGGCGGAGCTTGCAGTGAGCCGAGACAGAACCACTGCACTCCAGCCTGGGTGACAGAGCGAGACTCCGTCTCAAAAAAAAAAAAAAAAATTAAAAATTAGCTGGGCATGGTGGTGCATGCCTGTAGTCCCAGCTACTTGGGTGTCTGAGGTGGAAGAATTGCTTGAACCTGGGAGATTAAGACTGCAGTGAGACGTGACTGCACCACTGCACTCCAGTCTGGGCGACAGAGACCTTGTCTCAAAAAAATATATATATATGTAAATTAAATTTGTGAGGCTGGGCACAGTGGGTCATGCCTATAACATCAACACTTGGGGAAGCTAAGACAGGAGGATCACTTGAGGCCAGGCATTCCTAGGTGACAGAGTGAGATTGTCTCAAAAAAAAATAAAAAGTAAAAACAAATAGAATTGTATAAAGCACCTGTGTTTGAAGCTGAAAATCAAATTTTTAATAAATCACGTCAATACTGTGTTGGCTGATGTTATTTAGGAGCCTGGAAATCTAAGGAGATTAAAAGGTTAAATTCTAGTGGAGGCCAGGCGCGATGGCTCACACTTGTAATCCCAGCACTTTGAGGGGCTGAGGCAAGGTAAGGAGTTCAAGACCAGCCTGGCCCACCTGGTGAAACCTCGTCTCTACTAAAAATACAAAAAATTAGCTGAGCATGGTGGCGCATGCCTGTAGTCCCAGCTACTTGGGAGGCTAAGGCAGGACAATCGCTTGAACCCGGAGGTGGAGGCTGCAGTCAGCTGAGATCATGCCGCTGCACTCCAGCTTGGGCAACATCTTCTGTGTAGTCAGTTACCTCCTACAACTGTCATTTTTCTGCCTTTTACCATTCAGTCTTTCGCTTGCTCCATCCAACCACTCTGGCCTCCTTATACTTCCTGAAACTCTTGACAGATATTGTTTCTTTCAGGTTTCTGCTCAAAAGTACTTAAGAAAGGCCTTCCCCCCACCACCCTATATAAAATGACACACACATCCCACCTGTCACTTCTTTTTTTTTTTTTGAGAAAGAGTGTCACTGTTGCCCAGGGGCACAATCACAACTCACTGGACCCTTGACCTCTTGGGTTCAAGTGATTCTCTCACCTCAGCCTCCAGAGTAGCTAAATTACAGGCACACACCATGCCCAGCAATTTTTTCTTTTAAGAGACGGGAGTTTTGCCATGTTGCCCAGACTGCTCTTGAACTCCTGGGCTCTAGCAGTCCACCCACCTCAGCCTCCCAAAGTGCTAAGACTACAGGCATGAGCCACGTGCCTGGCCTCACCTGTTACTCTTTATCCCTAACTTCTGCTGTATTTTTATCTGTAACACTTACCTCTAGCTGACACTAGGTATTTATGTATTTGTCTCCCTCAACTAGGACATAAGCTTATGAGAGCCGAGACTTTTATCCTCCTCTGCTTATCTCCAGTGTGCAGAACAGATGCCTGAGTAAAATGATTAAATGAAAGAAATGAACTTATGGAGTTTTTAGAGGGAATGACATTCAAAGCATCTGTGACACTTCCAGAGACAACATAGCACAGTACTTTCAGAGTAGTCCCTTAATACTTGCTGAAGTTTATTTGCAAAGAGGTAAACTATTATCTGAACCCCAAATAGGTAACAATTCAAAATTACTAGCCTGCTTTCTGCTAAGACCCAGGAGTTATGCTCCTAGAATTTTCCTCTAAACTTTGCTTCTGTCCAAAGAGCAGTTACCTACTTATTTCCCACACTTCCCAAACTTCCTAGTTTGACCCAAGTCCTGATCCCTGCCAACAATTCCATTCTACACCCTTGAAAATCCCAGTGAGTTAAGTGACATAGCAGGCATTTAAATTACTGTTAAGCTAATGAAGTAAACTGTACCCTACCCCTTGGAATCCTCCTGTTTCCGACACTTTACTCATCTACTTACTTAGATCTCGAAGCCACGAATGAAGAGATACAGCGTTAACAGTAAGTTTTCATTTTAAAAAGTGAAAACAATGTAACCATTTTGATATGCCCTCGAGCTCTTTAAACTGTAATTCTACTTTAACTATGAAATATACACAAAATAAAAATTGACACAGACTAAGGAATGGGGGCTGAAAAGCCACAGCCAAATTGGCCATGCATCTCCTACTTCGGGGATTAGGCTCACTCAACTATTTCATAGCCCACTTTGAAATTCGGTCATTTTTCCAGTTGCTCTTTGTTGGAGGGAAACTGTTTCTTAACAAGATTCTGAGGACTCCACAAAAACCGTAAGGTGGGAGGAATTGGGATCTGAAGGTCTTTGGCAAACATGTCCACTGCGGCTGCTCGAGGCAAAGCAACGGAAGTTGAAGAGACTTTGCAACAGCTGCAAGAGTTTCACTCCCAGTGCAGAGAAGGGTAGCGTAGCTAGGCTACCTCACCCGGGCGGCCTCCAGCAGCCAGGTCCCTACCGAACCCCGAGGCCCACCTCGCTGGACCCCGGACGGGCCCCATCTGTTTCCCCTCCTTCCCCACGCTACGGCCCGCTGGGGAAAGGGGCAGCGCCGGGGAGCACGACGAGGGCACGAGGTACCCTCTCCTAGCCCAGGCTCACCCTTGGTCAGCGTGTCCAGCACCCCCGACTTCTCCAAGTACCTCCGGAACTGCTCACGCTTCGAGTCGGCGGCCTGAAGAGACACCGGGGGTCAGTGGCCAGAGCCCGGGAGCCGAGCAGGAAGAAGGTGCTAGGAGTCTGGCAACCCCGCCTCCGCCTCGCTACCTCGGGGCCCTCCCGCCCAAACCTGCGCGCGCGACCCCACTCCCACCCAGAGCCGACCAACGGCTTGCTACCGCCCGCATGCCCCCAGCCACGCCGCGCCCCCCTCACTTTGTAATGGGCCATAGTGACAGCGGCAGCGGCGTAGCTGGCGCCGGAGACCGCGACTGGCGGGTTGGGAGCAGAACTGCTCATGCGCGGAAGGGGGCGCGCGGCTGCGCACTTGCGAACCACGGGCAGGGATCGCCGGGGTGTGGCCTGTTTTCATGGCGACCAGGACGCTCTGCATCCCCCGTTGCAGGCTGAGCCGAGGGAGGCTGCGTATGCCCGCCCCTCTGGCTGTTGGAGCCGCACCTCTTCCTCTTCCGGTCCCCGTAGCGATTCGTTTTCTTTGCAAGAGGTGAGATTTTGGTAACTCTGTACTGGCGTCCGGAGGCAGGGCCCGGGAGCACTGGGACTATTGCGAGAGGAAGGATCGCCGCACGGTGGTAGCGAGCTCATTTTTCTCATCTGGGACCTCGGAAACTGTGGTGACCCATAGGTGCTGGACTTTTTGGCTCTCTTCCTGAGAAAGTGCTCACGACTTTGCAGTAGCTGAGGAGGGTGTTTAGAATCATGTATTTTGGTTCCGGCTTTTATCTTTGGAGTCTCCTTGAGTCGTGGCTGACTTGATGTGGGCTTCTGGAGAATGAGCAGTAACGAGCTTGCAATAGCTTTTGAGCGCTGTGCGCCAGGCACTGTAGAAAACACGGGTATTTTAAATTTTAATCCTCACAACACCCCTGTAGGGTGCGTACTGTTAATTAAGTGGAGAGGTTAGATGTCCAGTGAGTAGAGCCGAGTCCAATCCGGGCAATGAATCACGATGCTATGAACTGGTGAAAGAAAGCCACGGATCTTTTTAAGATTTTATTTACTAGGTAGCAACATGTGATTATACTCGAGACATATCAGGATGCAGTCTAGAAGGAAACTACGTGATTGTGTTTCAGGGGCAAACAAAATTAACCCAGTGTCCAAGGTGGAATTATGTAGATGAAGAACCGTGTCCTAAGGCTGTGGTCTCTTCAAAGAGAAAACCTGATCAAACCATTTAGCCCCAGTTCTGAACATGTGATATTCCCAAAATCAGTTACACACATTCGAAAGAATATCATTAAAAAAAAAAAAATCCTGATTTGACAACCTTATGTCTTTGGATTTAGAAGTGTTCTTTCACAATCTAGAATTAGAGCTGTTTTTCCCTTGCTGAAATGAGTTTGCCGTCTGTCTTAACAGCTGGTCTTTAGAGCTGCCCATATCTATTTTGTCCGTGCCCCACCACCACTAGGCTACTTCTCTGATAATATATACAATGTCTAAAAGCCAACCGCTGTCTAGATCTGAAGATCTGTGGAAACCCGCCTACCAATGAGATTGTTCGTTAGGGACACTACGTGATTTGGAGGACACACAGGATTATTACAGGTTCTGACCAACCCTAGCTCAAAGGACAGCCCTCCCAAAGAATCAGCTGTGTTTGGAATGTCAAGTGATTGAGACTTTCCTTGTGAAGGAGGAAGGGTTCTGACTATGCCCTTTCTGAACTGGCCTTTGAGGTTACCTTTAGGAGGTGACCCCCGGTTTTCATGTTCTGTAGAGGAACCCCATGTAGCTCTAAGCCACCGCGGTTTCCAATCGCAGTTAGCTGGCAAGGAGAAAGCTGTTTGGGGTGACTGCCTCATGTTGTTCTCTCCATCTATAGCAACACCTGGAATAGAACGGTGACCTCTAGAGTAGTAGTTCCTTTTGCGGTCTTTGCCTTCAGTTTCTCTTTTTTCCCTTAACTGGTTACCATTAACTTCTTTTCCAAATATTTTATGAGTGTCTTTGTTATTATTTGAACCGATGTGTTGAAAATGAGTACAGCTAGTACTAAGTGTGGAAATCTCGTTAGAAAGTACAGTTTCCTGTTCATTCAAAATGCATTTCTCATCATTTACACTGTGATTGTCAGGATTTGGCTGGAATACAGAAGATGAATTTAAACTAGGGTACACCGCAGTGTGTGTTTGCTTTTCCACTAACAGATTATAATCAGGGGCAGAAGGGAGTCGCTTCAGTGAATTTGCAGATGTGCTCTGATATTTGGCTACGTTTTGTTTTGCCTCGTTTGCATGGAATTCATTATGTTCCTTCTTCAACTTGTATTTTCCCCAAATCCCTCTTTTAATCTTTTTAAAACCTAGGTGGAAAATTTCTAGGATGTTTAAGAAAAGTGAAATAGTGGCTATAGATTGCATAAATAATAGGAATATTGTCTTTTCTGTTGGTCTTGAGACAAAACAGTCGATTATATTTGGACACGGGTGGCCATGACACTTAAATAGAGGCTCTAAGTGAAATCCATATAAAAGGTACTGTCCAATCATGAATCCAACTTCAACCACAGAGCGAGTGAAAATGTGTATCACATAAGTGCAAAGCAAGGTTCCTCTGAGTGGAGCTTTATTTAGTTTCCTTTTCTCCAGCTGACAAAGCTCTTGCTCCAATCTCCTCCGATCCCTAGGCATTTCAAACTCTACCCCCTCCAGTTCTACTCTTAACTGAGCTTTCATCCTTTGCCTCTCTTCCTCTAGAACTCTCAGTCGGTACAATGCATGGCCCATGTAGACCAGGGATGGTGAAGACACAAATATCACCTGCAGAACCCAGTATCTAATGAGGGAGATAGGAAAGGCCTGGTCGTAGCATACATTTCTGCAGCCTGGTTGTTCTGTATTGCAGACGAAGCCGGACTGCTCATCATTCCAGACATCTTCAGCTGCTACACCCAGAACAAGCATTCGAAATATGAATAGGATGGTGAGCCAGATCTTTCCAATCGTGGTGGAGTGGATGTGAACTTCCTCCAGAGTATCTCCAAGGAGATTCCAGTCCCCCATGTTTATTTAGTCAGCCATCTTAGCTCTGATCCCCATCAAATAAGAAGCAGTTAAATTCTTCCATTCTGAAGGGAGCACTATTTCTTAAAGCAAACCTATGGTGAAAATATAACAATATGTCACTTCTATATGCTGGTTGCTTTACTTTTTCCCTAGATAGCTGTGGGGTTTTTTATTTGTTTTTTTGTTGAGACAGAGTCTCCCTCTGTTGCCCAGGCTCGAGTACAGTGTTGCAGCCACAACTCACTGCAGCCTCAACCTCCCAGGCTCAAGCAATTATCTCCCCTCTCAGCCTCCTGAGTAGCTGGGACTACAGGTGTGTGCCACTACACCCAGATAATTTTTTTATTTTTTGTAGAGACAGGGTCTCACTATATTGCTGCAGCTAGTCTCAAACTCCTAGACTCAAGTGATACTCTCGCCTTGGCCTCCCAAAGTGTGGGGATTACAGGTGTGGGTCACCACACCTGGCCAAAGTGTTAATCTGTTACCAATAATATGTTTAAATTGTCAGGAATTTAAAATCACTTATATTTAGACATCACAATATAATGAAAAAACATGATACCTGGAGGAGGAGTGTATATATTCTCTATTAAGAATATAGGCTGGGCGGGGTGGCTCACACCTATAATCCCAACACTTTGGGAGGCCGAGGTGGGTGGATCATTTGAGATCAGGAGTTCAAGACCAGCCTGGCCAACATGTTGAAAGCCTGCCTCTACTAAAAATACAAAAATTAGCTAGGCATGGTGGCGGGCGCTTGTAGTCCCAGCTACTCAGGAGGCTGAGGCAGGAGAATCACTTGAACCTGGAAGGCAGAGGTTGCAGTGAGCCAAGATCATGCCACTGCACTCCAGCCTGGGCGACAGAGTGAGACTCCATCTCAAAAAAATTTTAAAAAAGTATAATTTTAGGCCATGTGCATTGGCTCATGCCTATAATCCCAGCACTTTGGGATGCCGGGGTGGGCAGATCATCTGAGGTCAAGGGTTTAAGACCAGCCTGGCCAACATGGTGAAACCCCGTCTCTACTAAAAATACAAAAATTAACCGGGTGTGGTGGCAGGTGCCTGTAATCCCAGCTACTCGGGAGGCTGAGGCAGGAGAATCACTTGAACCTGGGAAGCAGAGGTTGCAGTAAGTGGAGATTATGCCACTGCACCCCAGCCTGGGCAAAAGAGCAAGACTCCATATCAAAAAAAAAAAAAATATATATATATATATATATGTACGCGCACACACATACACACACATATATATGTATAAAATTGTACGCTGGGCACGGTGGCTCATGCCTATACTCCTAGCATTTTCACAGGCTGAGATGAGAGGATTGCTTGAGGCCAAGAGTTCAAGACCAACCTGGTCAACATTAGAGAGACCCTGTCTCTTAAAAAAAAAAAAAATTTAAATTAAAAAAATAATAATATAATTGTAGGATTTCTCATCAGAGAGGAGTCATCTTACTTAGCTGAAGTTTATTATTGTTGTTGTTGGGGTTTGTTTGTTTGTTTGTTTATTTTGAGACAGAGTTTCGCTCTTATTGCCCAGGCTGGAGTGCAATGGCACAATCTCAGCTCACCACAACCTTCGCCTCCTGGGTTCAAGCGATTCTCCTGCCTCAGCCTCCCGAGTAGCTGTGGTTACAGGCATGCGCCACCATGCCCAGCTAATTTTGGATTTTTAGTACAGACAGTGTTTCTCCATGTTGGCCAGGCTGGTCTGGAACTCCTGGCCTCAGGTGATCTGCCTGCCCTGGCCTCCCAAAGTGCTGGGATTACAGGCGTGAGCTGCCACACCCGGCCTGTTACTGTTTTTCAACTGAGAACTTTTGGAAAGGTTTCTAAAACTACTAACTTGACCTTAACCTTATTTATTAAGATTATTTGATATAAAAGTTGTAACAAAGTCAATTTTTTTTCCCCAACATGCCATTACTGGCTTGAAAAGTCAGTAATTTTTTTTCCTTTCTTTCTTTTTTTTGGGACAGAGTCTTGCTCTGTCACCAGGCTGGAGTGCAGTGGCGCAATCTCAGCTTACTGCAGCCTCTACTTCATGGGTTCAAGCGATTCCCCTGCCTCAACCTCTTGAGTAGCTGGGACTACAGGTGCCTGCCAGCACCCCCAGATCATTTTTTGTATTTTAGTAGACACGGGGTTTCACCATGTTGGCCAGGATGATCTCAATCTCCTGACCTCGTGATCCACCCGCCTCGGCCTCCCAAAGTGCCAGGATTACAGGCGTGAGCCACCGTGCCCAGCCAAAAAGTCAGTGATTTTTAAATCTCATTTATGAGATGAATGAGACAATGAATATGCTTCATTTGAGAATTCAGTAAGATACAGCATTTAATGAAGCCAAAGGAAATAGATCTGGCTCTCACAGAAATTTAGATTAGTTTTTTTTAATACAAATTGAATAAATTTGAAATAAATTCTGGTTTCTTCCTGGCAGTTGGTGAACATTTTCAGATATTCATCTCAGTAATATTTATGAATATGAATAAAGTACTTATACTTTACTATGAAAAAGTACACTTTTTTCTTTTTTTTTTTTTTTTTTTTGGCAGGGGAGACAGTCCCACTCTGTTGCCCATACTAGAGTGCAGTGGCAGGATCCTGGCCCACGCAACCTCCACTTCCCGGGTTCAAGTGATTCTTATGCCTCAGCCTCCCAAGTAGACTACAGGCAAGCACCACCACGCTCGGCTAATTTTTGTATTGTTAGTAGAGACAGGGTTTCACCATGTTGGCCAGGCTGGTCTTGAACTCCTGACCTTGAGTGATCCACCCGCCTCAGCCTCCCAAAGTGAGCCACCATGCCCGGCCCAAATTTTGTAAATTCTTATCATGTTAAAATGAACTTCAAGCCCGGCACAGTGGCTCACACCTGTAATCCCAGCACTTTGGGAGGCCGATGTGGGTCACCTGAGGTCAGGAATTCGAGACCAGCCTGGCCAACCTGGTGAAACACTGTCCCTACAAAAATACAAAAAATTAGCTGGGTGTGGTAGCAGGCATCTGTAACCCCAGCTACTCAGGAGGCTGAGGCAGGAGAATCGCTTGAACCTTGGAGGTGAAGGTTGCAGTGAGCTGAGATCATGCCATTGCACTCCAGCCTTGGTGACAAGAGCAGAAACTCTGTCTCAAAAAAAAAAAAGAACTCCAAAAATTCTCAACTATTTTATGGTACCAGAATCTTTTTTTTTTTTTTTTTTTTTTTTTTGAGACAAAGTTTCCCTCTTATCGCCCAGGCTGGAGTGCAATGGCACAATCTCCGCTCACCGCAACCTCCACCTCCCAGGTTCAAGTGATTTGCCTGCCCCAGGCTGCGGAGTAGCTGGGATTACAGACATGCGCCACCACGCACAGCTAATTTTGGATTTTTAGTAGAGATGGGGTTCCTCCATATTGGTCAGGCTGGTTTCGAACTCCTGACCTCAGGTGATCTGCCCGCCTCGGCCTCCCAAAGTGCTGGGATTACAGGTGTGAGCCACAGTGCCCAGCCCTGTGGTACCAGAATCTCATTATAGATACTACTTGAAAGAGATTGTTCACTGGTATGGTGGTAGTATTATGGAAACTTTTCACTGTAGCAGTATTTGACCTATTAAAGACATATAGCTGCTCTCTTGAAGGAAACAGTGGGGCAAGTTATAATTTAGCTGCTTGGATTATTTGCCAGTAGATTCCATATTAAGGTTGGTATCCCAGGTTACCTCAGAGGAAATATACCCCAAAAGAAAGATTTTTTAAAAGTGAATGTTTTCATTACTTTTCATTTAAAATATAAATATTTTCTATTTTTCCTGTCCCCTTTATATAAAGGGAACTGTTACACAATCAAACAAACTACTAAGATACAAAATGTGTTCATCACTAAAATCCTGTGTGGTGAGTATGTTGTTTCGCCCATCTTACAGATGAGGAAACAGAAGCACACCTTAATTTACCTGAGGTCACACAGCTGGAGCTGACGTTCAAACCCAATCATTGTGGCTCTAGAGTCAGTTCTTTAAATTTTTTACTAAACTATTATTTTTCCTCTATGAGCAAACTTCAGATTTGCCGGAAAGAAACATTAAGAGATCATCTGTTTTAAGTTTAATCATTTAAATTTAGGAATGTCAAATAGTGACAGCTTTGGCTTTTTAAATAACTAGTTCTAGAGTCTTTAGTTCCTTTCTTCAACCATTGTTCTGTTAATATGATTTGCAAAAGCATCAACCTTCTAAAATATAGTTGTATTCCTGAGACAGAGAAACTTTCCATTGACTTTATTATGTTAATAATAGCATACTCTGGCCAGGCAAGGTGGCTCACGCCTGTAATCCCATCACTTTAGGAGACCAAGGCCAACGGATCACTTGAGGTCAGGAGTTTGAGACCAGCCTGGCCAACATGGTTGAAACCCTTTCTCTATTAAAAATACAAAAATTAGTCGGGCGTGGTGGCAGGCACCTGTAGTCCCAGCTACTCAGGAAGCTGAGGCAGGAGAATCACTTGAACCCAGAGGCAGAGGTTGCAGTGAACCAAGATCACACCATTGCACTCCAGCCTGGGCGACAGAGCAAGACTCTGTCTCGAAAAAATAATAATAATAGCATACTCTGACCCAACAACCCAAAGCACTTTAAAACGTAAGCAAGTTGGCCAGGCGTCGTGGCTCACACCTGTAATCCCAACACTTTGGGAGACAGAGGCGGGCGGATCACGAGATCAGGAGTTCGAGACCAGCCTGACCAACATGGTGAAACCCCATCTCTACTAAAAATATAAAAATTAGCCAGGCATGGTGGCGCATGCCTGTAATCCCAGCTACACAGGAGGCTGAGGCAGGAGAATCACTTGAACCCGGGAGGCGAAGGTTGTAGTGAGCCGAGATCTGGCCACTGCATTCTAGCCTGGGCGACAGAGTGAGACTCTGTCTCAAAAAAAAAAAAAAAGTAAGCAAGTTAAGTCTAATTTATGGTTCATAAATAATAATAATGTAAGCAAAGATGTAATTCATGTTTATAATAATCATAAGCTAAAAACATTAAGTAATTATCAATACAAGAAAAACTGATTAAATAATGGACCACATCCACGGTGTGATACTATGCAACCAGTAGAAATGTTAAACATACATAAAAAGGCATTTGATACTTCATTTCAGTGAAATTGATGTTATAAAATAAAATAATATGGCCCCATTATTATAAATTTAGTTACATTTACAAATGTATACAAAAAAGTCTAGAAGGATTTTCATGAAAATATTAACTGTGATTAGCTCTGGATGTTGGGATTATAAATTATATACTTAATATATTGTAATTACATGTATTTCAATTTTTTACTATGAGCATTTTACTTTTATAATCATAAAAAGAAATAAAGGATTTTTTTTTCATAAAGGACAACACATAGTATTTCCTGAAAGAAGGAACAGTATTATTTAGCTACAAATTAAAGCTTTCTTAGCAAATGACATAAAAACTAGTATACATAGATACAGTCCCATAGAATTCAAAAGAAAAAGATAAAAACATTTGAAACAACTCTTTCTTAATAAGCTAAAACAGAGAGATTAACACAAACCTTTCTTAGTTTAGGTAAATCTGAGAAGCAAACCATATTTAGCATGGCCATCTTCAATTTATTTTCTGAATTTGTCCTTTTGCAGGTATAGAGCAGATTCAGTTCAGTTCAATGTAGTGAGTGAGTCATCCATCAACTAAAATCCATTTCCCTTTCTGCTTATCCTTGCTTCTAAAACAGCACCGTCCAATAGAACTTTCTGCAACAATGGAAATATTCTATCTGTGCTAGCCAATAAGGCAGCCAGTAGCCAAATGTAGCTATTGAACACTTGCAATATGGTTTTTGTACCAGAGCGATTGAATTTTTAATTTCAAATAATTTTAATAAAAATGTAAAGAGCTACAGCTACCTAATGGCTGCCTTATTGGACAGCACAGATAAAGAATGCTTATAATAGTCCTGATAACACACTGCAGTCTAGAAGACTAAAGTCATGAGCCCCAAATTAAGCTGAGTAAATGATTCCTCCATAACTCAGAGATGTCAAATTTAAAATGACAGGAGATATTTGTGTGCTGTTTGTACTGTAATTTTTGCCACTGGGGGAACCCAATAAAATGTCATTGTTTTTTGTGCAATAAACCATGTTTCTAGAACCAAAAAAGTCTTTCTTACTAGATAATAATGTCTTGGTCATCTGCCTTAATAAATGGGTCATGTCCGATTTCATAGATAGATCCTGATTCTCTCTCCCATGTTCTGTTATTAACAATTACATTGTATTTTAGGTCATTAGAGGTCTCTTCAGAGCTAGTGATCTGGCAGGTTGGGCGTAACAGATAGATATTTCTTCTCTGGGCTTCTTTGCCAACAATAGCTACTTCTCAGATTAAATACAAACATTTCACCAGGGACACATATATATATATATTTATATTTTTTATATTTTATATTTATATTTATATATTTTATATAAATATATATATTTAATATATTTTTTATATTTATATATAGACACACAATATATTCATGTTTCTATATTGTGTTATCTGAATTACATATGTGTAACACATAAATTATTAATAAACTTGAAAATTGCTCAACCTCACTAGAAAATACATATTTAAGTGAAATATTATTTTTAACTATCAAAATGCAAAATTTTCAAGATTTATAATACCTTCTTTTGGCAAGGTAGGGAGGCACTGTTACTCTCATATCCTGTAGGTAAGAATATAAATGGATACAGCTATTTAAAAGGCAATTTTTTTTTTAAATTTATTTATTATTATTATACTTTAAGTTGTAGGGTACATGTGCATAACGTGCAGGTTTGTTACATATGTATACTTGTGCCATGTTGGTGTGCTGCACCCATCAACTCGTCATTTACATCAGGTATAACTCCCAATGCAATCTCTCCCCCCTCCCCCCTCCCCCCTCCCCATGATAGGCCCCGGTGTGTGATGTTCCCCTTCCTGAGTCCAAGTGATCTCATTGTTCAGTTCCCACCTATGAGTGAGAACATGCGGTGTTTGGTTTTCTGTTCTTGTGATAGTTTGCTAAGAATGATGGTTTCCAGCTGCATCCATGTCCCTACAAAGGACACAAACTTATCCTTTTTTATGGCTGCATAGTATTCCATGGTGTATATGTGCCACATTTTCTTAATCCAATCTGTCACTGATGGACATTTGGGTTGATTCCAAGTCTTTGCTATTGTGAATAGTGCTGCAATAAACATACGTGTGCATGTGTCTTTATAGCAGCATAATTTATAATCCTTTGGGTATATCCCCAGTAATGGGATGGCTGGGTCATATGGTACATCTAGTTCTAGATCCTTGAGGAATCGCCATACTGTTTTCCATAATGGTTGAACTAGTTTACAATCCCACCAACAGTGTAAAAGTGTTCCTATTTCTCCACATCCTCTCCAGCACCTGTTGTTTCCTGACTTTTTAATGATCGCCATTCTAACTGGTGTGAGATGGTATCTCATTGTGGTTTTGATTTGCATTTCTCTGATGGCCAGTGATGATGAGCATTTTTTCATGTGTTTGTTGGCTGTATGAATGTCTTCTTTTGAGAAATGTCTGTTCATATCCTTTGCCCACTTTTTGATGGGGTTGTTTGTTTTTTTCTTGTAAATTTGTTTGAGTTCTTTGTAGGTTCTGGATATTAGCCCTTTGTCAGATGAGTAGATTGCAAAAATTTTCTCCCATTCTGTAGGTTGCCTGTTCACTCTGATGGTAGTTTCTTTTGCTGTGCAGAAGCTCTTTAGTTTAATGAGATCCCATTTGTCAATTTTGGCTTTTGCTGCCGTTGCTTTTGGTGTTTTAGACATGAAGTCTTTGCCCATGCCTATGTCCTGAATGGTACTACCTAGGTTTTCCTCTAGGATTTTTATGGTATTAGGTCTAACATTTAAGTCTCTAATCGATCTTGAATTAATTTTCGTATAAGGAGTAAGGAAAGGATCCAGTTTCAGCTTTCTACTTAGGGCTAGCCAATTTTCCCAGCACCATTTATTAAATAGGGAATCCTTTCCCCATTTCTTGTTTCTCTCAGGTTTGTCAAAGATCAGATGGCTGTAGATGTGTGGTATTATTTCTGAGGACTCTGTTCTGTTCCATTGGTCTATATCTCTGTTTTGGTACCAGTACCATGCTGTTTTGGTTACTGTAGCCTTGTAGTATAGTTTGAAGTCAGGTAGCGTGATGCCTCCAGCTTTGTTCTAAAAGGCAATTTAAATCTATCAAAATTAGCATAGCCTTTCTGCTTCTGGATACTTGAAATATTCACTTAGCATGCACACTCAGAGACACACCACACATGCTAGGATGTTCACATGGCAGTGTTGGTAATTATACAAAAGCAGCAACAATTTACATGTCCTACAGAGGAATGGTTAGCTATGGTACATCTATATCATTCAGCAATTCAGAGAATAAAGATCTCTATGAACTAATAGAGAAAGGTCCCTAGGTCATGTTGTAAAGCAGGTTATAGAACAATACATGTATCACATTTATCCTGCTAAAACCTACAGTTTATAAAAATATCTAACGAGAGGCCAGGCGTGGTGGCTCACATCCGTAATCCTAGCACATTGGGAGGCCGAGACAGGCGGATCACCTGAAGTCAGGAGTTCAAGACCAGCCTGGCCAACGTGGTGAAACCCAGTCTCTATTAAAAATACCAAAAATTAGCCAGGCATGTGATGCATTCTTATAATCCCAGCTACCTGGGAGGCTGAGGCAGGAGAATTGCTTGAACCTGGGAGGCGGAGGTTGCAGTGAGCCGAGATGGTGCCACTGCACTCCAGCCTGGGCGACAGAGAAAGACCCTGTCTCAAGAAAAAAAATACACATACACACACACACACACATATACATATATATAATATATATGCATATATATATATTTAGCTACAATTGATTAACAAAAACTTTTCCTAGTTGAGGTAAATCTGAGAAGCAAATGATGTTTAGGGGAAGTGATACCATGGACACCTCTAATTTGTTCTTTGAATTTGTCCCTTTGAGGGTGTAGAGCAGATTCAGTGAAGTTCAGTACAGTGGATGAATTGGCCATTAACTTAAACACATTTTCCTTTCTGCTTATCCTACATAGAAAAAAGTCTGCAAGGATACATACCATACTGTTGTGACCACTGATGATAGTCATCACTATGGAAAAACAGCAGGTTTGAAGTGAGAAGGTAAAAGGAGATTTTGTTTGTTTGTTTATTTAAGACAGGGTCTCACTCTCTGTCACCCAGGCTGGAGGGCAGTGGCATGATCTAGCTCACTGTAACCTCGAACTCCTGGGTTCCAGTGAACTCCTGGGTTCCAGTAATCCTCCCACCTCAGCCTCCAGAGTAGCTAGAACTACAGGCAAGCACCACCACACCTGGCTATTTTTTATTTTTATAATTTATAGAGTTATTGAATGTTACCCAGGCTGTTCTCAAACTCCTGGGCTCAAGCAGTCCTCCCACCTTAGCCTCCCAAAGTGCTGAGATAATAGGCATGAGCCACTGCACCTGGCTGAGATTTTATCTTTTAACTTCTTGTTTGAATCTTTGTTTAACCAAGAACATACTCATAAGGCCAGGCATGGTGGCTCACACCTGTAATCCCAGCACTTTGGGAGGCTGAGGCGGGTGGATCACTTGAGGTCAGGAGTTTGAGAGCAGCCTGGCCAACATGGTGAAACCCTGTCTCTACTGAAACTACAAAAATTAGCCGAGCGCAGTGGCTCACGCCTGTAATCCCAGCACTTTGGGAGGCGGAGGTGGGTGGATCACCTGAGGTCAGAAGTTCAAGACCAGCCTAGCCAACATGGAAAAACCTTGTCTCTACTAAAAATACAAAAATTAGCCAGGCATGGTGGTGGGTGCTTATAATCCCAGCTACTCAGGAGGCTGAGGCAGGAGAATCATTTGAACCCAGGTGGTAGAGGTTGCAGGGAGCCGAGATTTTGCCATTGCACTCCAGCCTAGGCAACAAGAGCGAAACTCAGTCTCAAAAAAAATAAAAAATTAGGGGCCGGGCGTGGTGGCTCATGCCTGTAATCCCAACACTTTGGGAGGCCAAGGTAGCCAGATCGCCTGAGGTCCTGAGGTCGGGAGTTCGAGACCAGCCTGGCCAGCATGGTGAAACCACATCTCTACTAAAAAAAAAAAAAAAATACAAAAATTAGCTGGGCTTGGTGGTGGCCACCTGTAATTCCAGCTACTCAGGAAGCTGAGACAGGAGAATCGCTTGAACCTGGGAGGCGGAGGTTTCAGTGAGCCAAGATTGGGCCACTGCACTCCAGCCTGGGTGACAGAGCAAGACTCCATCTTAAAAAAAAAAAAAAAATGAGCCAGGTGTGGTGGCACACATCTGTAATCCCAGGTACTCGGGAGGCTGAGGTAGGAGAATTGCTTGAACCCAGGAGGCAGAGGTTGCAGTGAGCCAAGATCTGCCCACTGCACTCCAGCCTGGGAAACAGAGCGAGACTCCATCTCAAAAAAAAGAAAAAAAAAGAACACACTCATATTCCCATGTTCATACTTAAATTTAACTTTTGAAACAAATTTCTGATCAGTTTTTCTCAATATACTAAAGTATTAGCTTTTCTCACTATATCTAAGTGTATATGCCCTTCCTAATACAGTAACATGTTTAGATGGGTGTTTAATAAATACGTTAATGATAAAAGAAAAAATTATATTTCCTGTATTCCGAGGACCTAAAACTACCATTTCCAAAAACATCATAAACCACAGTCTGAATTCTACACAGAAAAAGGACACATGCTTCTCAGCTTTCAGGTATGACATTTTACCTTTTGTAAATAAATCCTACCCACTCCTAGGAGAGCCATGAGCCACACGAAGGATGACAGTCTGATCACAGATGAGAATCTGAAGTCTAGGTATATAGTGTGCACCAGAAAGCCAGTACCAGGTTCCTTGGAATCTTAGACACGGTTTCAGAATCTTAAACTAGCAGTCCAGAAAATCCTCAGTCTTCTTCTATGAGATATTTCCACCATTCATGGTGTACCCCGCATAGATGTTTGTTCCTGTACTCCTATGATACTCTTCAGTATTGGGGGAACAGAGCACTGTTGGACCTCTAGGAGAGACTACAGGTTTCCAAGTCATTACCTATGTTTAAATGCTGCTCCCCTCAGACAAGTACGTAATTCTTTAAGGGTTTATTTAAGGGATTCTTTACGATTACTCTAAGATGCAGAGTAATAACTACCTCTCTGGGTTGTTGATAACATTATCAATAAAGTATGTAAAACACCTCAAACAGTAGTGATCTATCTTCTGAAACAGTAATCTATTTTAAAGTGATTATCAGGAGTCTGACACAGGTATAAAAAGTTTTTATTATCAGCATTGTACAGTATTCATAGATTTTATGAAGCATTCTCCAAAATATATCCTCCAAGGAGAAGTCTGGTTTATAGAATACCATATGCCTGGGAAAGAAAGACCCAATCTCTAGTTTTGTTTTGTTTTTTGAGACGGAGTGTCGCTCTGTCACCCACGCTGGACTGCAGTGGTGTGATCTCAGCTCACTGCAACCTTCGCCTCCCAGGTTCAAGCAATTCTCCTGCCTCAGTCTCCCAAGTAGCTGGGACTACAGGCACGCAGTACCACACCCAGCTAATTTTTGTATTTTCTTTAGTAGAGACAGGGTTTCACCATATTGGTCAGGCTGGTCTTGAACTCCTGACCTCAGGTGATTTCACCCACCTCAGCCTCCCAAAGTGCTGGGATTACAGGCATGAGCCAGTGCTCCTGGCCCCAATCTCCAGTTTTTACTACCCTTCTTTTCTCTCTTCTTCTTCCCTTTCTACATTAAGAAGCCCCTTCCTTAAATCCTAAGGTCCTTTTGTAGGCAATCTTTGCAACTGATGAGTTTAATGCTGTTTTTTCCTCTATATAAAGTTGTTAACCTTTGCTGAGACTTCTGTTTCTTCATAGAGTCTTCCTTTTTTTTTCCCCCATCCAGATGGCTCTTTTTATTAATTGGCTTATAATAGGAGCAGGTCAGTTTGCCGGAGATAGGAAAATGTTGAAAAACACAGCAAATAAGACACAAGCTAAATAAGCAGCGATTGCTATCCAAAACCTTGGATCTTTCAGCAGTGCTTTATCAAAGCAGCTAAACACCGTGTAGCCGATGGACATTCCAGCAAATCCACCTGCAACGTGAGCTGCAAAAGACACCTTGGGAGAAAAGGAGAAAATGGAAATAAGTGAAGACAATGCTAATTGTGTATTTCAGTTGCATCTCTCTTATTCAAACACAAATACCATCACAGTCAAACAAGAGTCTTAAAAGTCTAGAGAACTAGGGGTAAGACAAAAGAGACACAAAACTCCATGTGCACAGAGAGAAGGAGATACTCTGAAACATACAAAGCTGAGAAATGTCATTTTCACCCATTCTTAGAGTACAAAAGACAAGAGAAATTGTTTCTCGTTCTTGATCATCATTGCATTTAAAATAATTCTATATGATGCCAACTAAGAGAATGGTTGAGTTGCCATGAGGGATCTCTATAGCAGCATAATCTGATTGCACATACATGGGGTGTCACATTTAAAACACAAGTAATAACGTACACAACAAATACCCAAACAGAAACTACCAAATTCAAAGATAAATCCCAGCAAAACTGGAAATTTTTGTCAATTTTCTTTATTGTCAGTTTATAGAACTCAAATTTTCATTGCTGTTTTCCAATCTGCTTTTTCGTTTTGTTTTGTTTTTTGAAATGGGGTCTCAACTCTGTCACCCAGGCTGGAGTGCAGTGGCATGATCACAGCTCACTGCAGACTCAACCTCTGAGACTCAAGCAATCCTCCCATCTCAGCTTCCCAAGTAGCTGGGACTACAGGCACATGCCACCATGCCTGGCTAAACCAATCTGCTTTTTATTCTATGTGGACAGGAAAATCCATTCTCTCCTGTTTACTGGGTTTTTTTTTGTTGTTGTTCTGTTTTGTTGAGATGGAGTCTCACTCTGTCGCCCAGGCTGGAATGCAGTGACGCGATCTCGGTTCACTGCAACCTCCGCCTCCCGGATTCAAGCGATTCTCCTACCTCAGCCTCCCGAGTAGCTGAGATTACAGGTGCCTGCCACCAAGCCCGGATAATTTTTGTATTTGTAGTAGAGACAGGGTTTCACCATATTGGCCAGGCTGGCCTCGAACTCCTGACCTTGTGATCCCCCAGTCTCGGCCTCCCAAAGTGCTGGAATTACAGGCGTGAGCCACCACGCCCGGCCATTCTCTCCTGTTTTGGAATAGCTACCAATATGGCAGGTGCAGTGAAGTAGAGCCAGTGATTAGGGCTATGAGAGAGTTAAGTAGGAAGGACAATTCAAAAGTCTGATTTCCTTAAAAATTTTCTTAACTTCCAAATGGAAATTTGGCTGCCCTAAATCACAGCGTTGTAACCCCTATTTGATAACCCTTTTTGACAGTAAACAAATTTCCATTTTATAAAAGAAAGAAACTGAACTCACCGGAGACCCATCTTCAGGAACAAAGAACCTTCTGTAGAGAGCAAATCCCATGTCTAACACAACTAGAAGGAAAAACACCCTGATAAAGGCTCAGAATCTCCACAATAGTACAGCAAATGTTTTTGGTTCCCCTCTAATAATAATAATACTAGCTATCATTTATTGAGACTTAACTCTGTGACAGGTGCTTTTCTACGAGATTTTTTAACTCATTAATCTTCATCACAACCCTATGAAGTAGGAACTATCATCATCCCATTTTACAGATTTATTCATCCAACAAGCATTCATTGTCCTCTATGTGTCAGGCATCATTCTAGCTGGTAGATGGGCAGCAGTGGGCAGATCTAACAGACCTGCCTCATGTAGCTGACAAACTGTTGGCGGGTGTGGCGGGGAGTGATTGGCAGGGAGGCAAACAAATAAGTAAAACATACAGTATGTCAAATAGTGCTAAGAGCTATGGAGAAAATACAAAGAGAGGAACAAGAACTAGGAATACCAGATGTCAAGTGTGATTTCCAATAGGGGTATCAAGGAGGATCTCTCTGAGAATATGACGCTGGACAGAGGTAAGGGTCCAAGTCATGCTGCTATTTGACACAAGAGTGTTTCAGAGAGAGGGAAGACCAAGTACAAAGTCCCTAAGCAGGAATATGCCTGGTGTGTTTGAAAAATACCAAAGCAGTTGAGCTGGCTGGATCAGTGGTTTTCAAAGTGGTTTTTACCAAGACCAGCAGTATCAGCTTCACCTGGAAACTTATTAGAAATGAAAACTCTTAAACCCACCCCAGACCTACTGAACCAGAAACCTTGAGGGTGGGACTCAGCTTTCTGTTTTGTTTTTAGAAGGTAAGTTGTACACTCCTTAGCAGATTCCAACTTCCATGGCTGTGTTTTCCAACTACCAACTGTGGTCAAGTTGTTGTTTCCAACAACTTTGGTTTTTGTTTTTTTGTTTTGTTTTTTTTTTTTGAGACGGAGTCTCGCTCTGTCGCCCAGGCTGGAGTGCAGTGGCCGGATCTCAGCTCACTGCAAGCTCCGCCTCCCGGGTTTACGCCATTCTCCTGCCTCAGCCTCCCGAGTAGCTGGGACTACAGGCGCTCGCCACCTCGCCCGGCTATTTTTTTGTATTTTTTTTAGTAGAGACGGGGTTTCACCATGTTAGCCAGGATGGTCTCGATCTCCTTACCTTGTGATCCGCCCGTCTCGGCCTCCCAAAGTGCTGGGATTACAGGCTTGAGCCACCGTGCCCGGCTGAACAACTTTGTTTTAACGAGACCTCCAGGTGATTCTGGACTAGAGTTAGGGATAAGGTTGTGGGTGATGACATCAAACAGGTAGCAGGGGACAGATTATGTAGGGTCTATATGGGCCATTGTAAGGACTCTTAACTTTTACTGAGTGATAGGAAGTCTTTGAAAGCTCTTGAGCACAGGAGTGGCATGGTACATTTTGTTTGTTTGTTTGTGACAGAGTCTCAACTCTGTTGCCCAGGCTGGAGTGCAGTAGTAAAATCTTGGCTCACTGCAACCTCCACCTCCCAGGTTCAAGCAATTTTCATGCCTCAGCCTCCTGATTAGCTGGGATTATAGACATGTGCCACCACACCTGGCTAATCTTTGTATATGTAGTAGAGACGGGGTTTCACCATGTTGGTCAGGTTGGTCTTGAACTCTTGAACTCCTGACCTCAGCTGCTCCACCTGCCTGAGCCCCACAAAGTGCTGGGATTACAGGCGCCTGCCACCATGCCCAGTTAATTTTTGTATTTTTAGTAGAGACAAGGTTTCACCGTGTTGACCAGGGTGGTCTCCAACTCTTGAACTTCTGACCTCAGGTGATCCACCCACCTCGGCCTCCCAAAGTGCTGGGATTACAGGCTTAAGTGACTACACTGGTGGTTTTACAAAGATTATTCTAGCTGCCATATAGGAAGCAGACTATAAGGGAGCAAGAACAGGAACTGGAAGACCAGCTGGAAAAATACTATTGTAGCAATCAAAGTGAAGAAGGATGGTGGCATTTTATACATAAAGAAACCAAGACACCAAGGCTCCACTCTCAGTCATCATGGTAATTGCCTGTAATTACCATCGGGAGTTCTGAAGGTGTCAGGCCATGAAAGCAAATGATTCCATATTCTCCAATAAAACTGTGAGAGCCAGAAGTTAGGCAGTCTTCCAGTAAGTCAGATCTGTGCTGCAAAAGGAGCTTCCGATTTCTTGGCCTAGAAGAACTCTGCCCTATATGTGTAGTGCTAGGAAACATCTCTTGCAGCTATTGCATTCCACACCCACCCCCTAATTCCCTGTGCTCTACTTAGTGAGCCACTGTGTCCTAGGAGATGAAAAGACCTAGTCCTTGCCTTTGGGAAAATAGCATCAGGACATGTGTTCTGACTAGATTCCCTTTCAATACTGTATTGATTGATGTTGAAGTCACTGGACAGAAATTGAGGTCGAGGAAGTATTCAATATTCATTTAATTGTAAATGACTATTACAAAGTGCTAGATTAATGAGGCTGTATCATATTGTCTTTTTGTTTTGTTTTGTTTTGTTTTGAGACACAGTCTCACTGTCACCCAGGCTGGAGTGCAGTGGTGCATTCTCAGCTCACTGCAACCTCCGCCTCCTGAGTTTAAGTGATTCTCCTGCCTGAGCCTCTGGAGCAGCTGGAACTACAGGCCATGTCACCACGCCTGGCTAATTTTCGTATTTTTAGTAGAGACAGGGTTTCACCATGAGACCAGGATGGTCTCAATCTCCTGACCTCATGATCCACCCACCTCAGCTTCCCAAAGTGCTGGGATTATAGGAATGAGCTACTGTGCCTAGCCCATATTTTCAATCATCATTTGCATTTCCTGGTCCACATAAATAACATGCCCATGGGTCTAGGAAAGTATTTTTAAAAACACTGCCACATAACTGGAAAGAGTTACTTTGGTTTAGTCTTCTAGGATAGGAGACCTCCTCTCAGAAAGTCTTTGTAACCATTAGTATGTCAATTTCTCCAACCAGTTTCTCTCCATCTTGCCCCTTCCTATATCTGAGTCTGGCTCTTTCCTCTTTCTGCTTCCTAGGGGACTTTTCTTCTGGGTTGCTGCTGCCTCTAAACTGAGACATGTCTTCCAACCTGAAAATAAGCCCTTACTCCAAGAAGCCAAACCATTGTCCTCATTAAAAATTTGACATTTACTTTAAAAGAGTTGCCTTCATATGAATTTTTTTTGAGACAACCTCGCTGTGCCGCCCAGACTAGAGTACAGGCCGGGCGCGGTGGCTCAAGCCTGTAATCCCAGCGCTTTGGGAGGCCGAGACGGGCGGATCACGAGGTCAGGAGATCGAGACCATCCTGGCTAACACGGTGAAACCCCGTCTCTACTAAAAAATACAAAAAACTAGCCGGGCGAGGTGGCGGGGGCCTGTAGTTCCAGCTACTCGGGAGGCTGAGGCAGGAGAATGGCGTAAACCCGGGAGGCGGAGCTTGCAGTGAGCTGAGATCCGGCCACTGCACTCCAGCCTGGGCGACAGAGCGAGACTCTGTCTCAAAAACAAACAAACAAACAAACAGACTAGAGTACAGTGGCATGATCACGGCTCACTGCAGCCTCGACCTCCCAGGCTCAGGCGAATTCTCCCACCTCAACCTCCTGAGGAGCTGGAACCACAGGCCCACACCGCAACACCCGACCAATTTTTTTGTAGAGACAGTTTCCCTATGTTGCACAGACTGGTCTTGAACATAGTGCTTGATGAAGGAATGTTTTTTGGCCAACTGCCATTCACAATTAAGAATATTTATAACTTAGCTGGGCACGGTGACTCACAGCTATAATCCCATAACTTTGGGAGGCTGAGGCGAGTAGATCACCTGAGGTCAGGAGTTCGAGACCAGCCTGACCAATATGGTGAAACCCCATCTCTAGTAAAAATACAAAAATAAGCCGGGCGTGGTGGCATGCACCTGTAGACAGGAGAGGCTGAGACAGGAGAATTGCTTGAACCGGGAGGCGGAGGTTGCAGTGAGCCAAGATCACGCCACTACACTCCAGCCTGGGCAACAGAGCGAGACTCCGTCTCAAAAAAAAAAGAATATTTACAACTTAAAACAAAATTGTATACATTTCCAAAGAAACATGTTTCAAATACAAATGCATTTATATTTTATTAATCTGGTATATGTTGTAACTCTTCCCATTTTCAATAGTAGGTAAACCAGGCCAAAGAACTTTTGGAAATGAAGCAGACTGACTGAAGACCCCGTATCTTGAGTGACAACCTTTCTGTGCCCAAACAATGTGTCCTCTGATTCTGGGTGTGACCCTGAACAACTGAGGAGGCAGCTCAGCTCCTGCAGCAGCTCTGCTGTCTCCCAGATACTCACTCTCCCTTCTCTTAGGTTTTGAATTTGTTATGAAGAAAAAAATTAAGAATAGTATAAACTACAAACAAGTTAATTATTTTATCTCAGAGTGAAATATTAATGTTCTTACAATTAAATCATCAATAAACTAAAGAGTCCCTTCCCACAGACATAGTTGCCTCTGTTCCTGTAATGGGGATAATTGAACCCTTGATAGAAATTGCAAAATCCTGTTTTCTTACTATGTGGACAGCCAACATCTTAGGCTTTATCAGGTATAACCTCTGCCTTGGCTTTCAGGTCTGACCCCAGGGTCTGTCATTCTTCCACAGCCCTCCAGGTAGAGAAAACTTCAACTGGAGCAGGTCCGTCAACACTAGTTACCACCCCCACCTTTGATCTTGTTTTCTTCCATGCTCTATGGCCTGCTGTCATCTGGAATCTACCTTTACTCTCAGACTCAGCTGCACTTCCATCGCCTCTCCAGACAGCATTCTTCCTAACCTCCTTTAGCATGTGATTCTAGAATTCTTGGAGATGTCAAAAGCCACATTAGTCACCCTCTTGGTCTGGGCTTCTTGAACAGTTGCCCGCCACCCCCGCCCCGCCCAGCTCTCTATCATTAATCCTCAACTATCAGCTATCACTCAATACTTATATTCTGGATCAGTTTTTTTTTTTAATCTGAAAATTTAGAAATTGAGGAAGAAAAGAGATTATATCAGTGGTTTCCAAGTTTTCCCTTTGCAGACAAAATCACATACAGCTTCCAATATATGAAAAAGTCCAGTATATAAAACATAAGTGAAGCTATTGTGGTTCAAGTAGAGGGGGTGCCTAGGTCTCTATTCTCTTGGCTTCCCCCACTCCATAAAGATACAAAAAGCAAAAATACATCATGTAGGCATGTCTAAGAACCACCCACGAGAGCCTGTAAAACTCCTTTGTTTAATCCTTTCTGCTTAGTGCCGTGAAGTGGACAATTTTTTTCTAACTGTAGGTTTGCAGTTATTCTCCATGTTAGTGTTTGGGAAATGTGGAAAGGCCTTCTGAAGGCTAAACCAATAACATTGTGAAAATATTGTGTGAGTTGATTATGCAAAATAGGTCATTCTTGTCAAACCCAACTAAATCAGAGTTGAGGAGCTAGGGGACAAAAGCACTCAGAGCACACGGCACTGCTCCAACAATTGAATTCTCCACAAGCCCAGCTGCTGAAACTACCTGCTCTAACCATAATATGGACTAGTTTTACCTAATAGCTGCTGAAACAAATTGAGTCTAAGAATCAGGTCTAAACAACACAAGTCTAAGACTAGTTCTCCCCGCTATCATCACTCACCAACCAGCTCCCAAAGGCTGCTCTAGTGCCAATGAGCTTTCTTTCAATATAATATGTAAAATTTATCTTTCTAATAAACCCTCCAGCCTTTTCTTTTGTACTTCTGACATACCATAGACCTCCCAGGTCTGTGTGCATGCCCCAAATTGCAATTCTGTGATTCCCAAATAAAATGTTTAGAGATTTGTCTCTATATTTTAGTTTCACTTCGACAGTATGAAGTGTTCACAAAACACACTTACTTATCAGGATGATGACCAGCAGTCTGAAAATTCCAAAGGCAGGAATCATTTCTCGAAAATTCTTGCAAAGAGATAAATAATAATTATATAAGCTATCTATGGACAAATGAAACCTCAACTCTATTCCCTCTTCATCTGCTCTTCATTTGAAATAATCTTCCAGTGTCAAATACTTGCAAATCAAAGCATGAGTGTCACGGCCAAGTTTTTAAATGTATTTAGGAAGTACAATGCACTTTGGGAAATAAAATGACAAGATATTTAATTTAATGATATAAATGACACAATTTTGCTAGCCAGAAATAATCTCAATAAAAGTAATATAAAATCAACACTTGTCAATAAATAAATAGATAAATAAATGCTGTTAAACTAAGATTGATGAAATATTCCTAAGATTTTTCATTAATATTCATTTGATATTTCTTCATCCTCTTTCCCAGTAGTATTTAGCAAAGACTTAACTGAGATTTGAGTATTACCTTAATTTTTTGAGGTAATTTCAAAAACATTGAAAATATTCGTCAAAAATTATTGCAGGGATTTTTGTGGGGGGGCTCTTGCAGCGGGGGGGTTCTGTGAGGGGAGGTAGAAGACAGGGAGGGTCTCACTCTGTCACCCAGGTTGGAGTGCAGCAGTGCAATCTATAGTTCACTGCAGCCTCGAACTCCTAGACTCAAGCCTTCCTCCTGTCTGACTCCTGAGTAGCTGGGACTACAGGTGCACGGCAGCACACCTGGCTCACTGTGGGATTTCAGCTTTGGGTCCCTTGCATGTCACTGGCGAACTGCTGAGTGAGACATTTCTAATATAATTTATTGAATTACTTGTCCCTTCCCTTTCAAATTAGTAACTCTCTTCCCAAGGAGTAAAGATGCTGAAATAGGCACGTTTATTCTAAATCAATTATTTTCAAACTCTTGTGACCACGACCTACAGTAAGAAGTACTTTACCTAACAACCCAGTACACACATAAATCAAACAATAACACTGACTTTTTTTTTCTTGGGCTTAACTTTTGGCCACAATTCCTTAAAGTGAGTCTACAACCACTAATGGGTTGCAATCGAAAGTTGAAAAAACCACTTTACTTAGTGATTTCTATATTTGGAACAGTTTTATAATTGCTTTACACTTTTCTACGTATAATTTTTTTTTAATTTTTTTTGAGATGGAATCTCACTCTGTCGTCCAGGCTGCAGTGCAGTGGCACAATCTTGGCTCACTGCAACCTCCACTTCCCAGGTTCAAGCAATTCTCCTGCCTCAGCCTCCAGAGTAGCTGGGACTACAGGCGCGTGCCAGCACACCCAGCTAATTTTTGTATTTTTAGTAGAGATGGGGTTTCACCATGTTGGCCAGGATGGTCTCGATCTCTTGACCTTGTGATCCGCCCACCTCAGCCTCCCAAAGTGCTGGGATTACAGGCATGAGCCACCACGCCCGGCTTAGAAATTTATCCTACCGAAAAAAAAAAAAAAAAAATTCACACAAATGCAAAGAGATAAATGCAAAAGAGCTTTTTTTTTTTTTTTTTTTTTTTGAGACAGAGTCTCGTTTTGTTGCCAGGCTGGAGGGCAGTAGCGTGATCTCAGCTCACTGCAACCTCCGCCTCCCAGGTTCAAGCCATTCTTCTGCCTCAGCCTCTCAAGTAGCTGGGACTACAGGCACACGCCACCACACCCAGCTAATTTTTGTATTTTTAGTAGAGACGGGGTTTCACCATGTTGGCCAGGATGGCCTCGATCTCTTGACCTCATGATCCAGCCACCTCGGCCTCCCACAGTGTTGGGATTACAGGTGTCAGCCACCACACCTGGCCAAGAGCATTTCTTATAGTGTTACTTGTAAACATGAAAAGCAAGAATCACCCCAAATTTTTTTCAATGAGCAATTCATTAAATAAATCATGGTGCATCTATATAGAGGATGCTAGGGAGCAGCTGCTAAGCTGGGAGGATTTCTAAGCACTGACATGGGTAGACAGTCAGGATGCTCTGTGATAAAATGCAGAACAATATAAGGGTGATGTCACTGTTACAAGATTAACATTGGTAGGATTTTTAATACATGTAGAAAAAGGTCTGGGCTGCTCTGCCTATGAAGTAGTTGTTCTTTTATTCCTTTACTTTCTTAATAAACTTGGTTTCCTTTAAAAAAATAAAAATAAAACAGGCTGAAAAAAAAATATGAAACTGTCAACAATGTCTTTCACTACCCACCCAACTGTTAACAGATACTATATTGAGGACCTTAACTTTCTACTTTTTTATTTAAAATTTTATGTAGTAATCATTACTTTTGAAATCAGAAAAAAAAAAATGATAAAATATGAAAGGAAACTAGGTGTGGCGGCTCACGCCTGTAATCCCAGCACTTTGGGAGGCCAACGTGGGCGGATCACTTGAGCCTAGGAGTTCGAAACCAGCCTGGGCAACATGCCGAAACCCTGGCTCTACAAACAATAAAAACATTAGTCAGGCATGGTGGCCCACACCTGTAGTCCCAGCTATTCAGGAGGCTGAGATGGGAGGATTGCTTGAGCCCAGGAGGCAGAAGTGCAGTGAGCCAGTATCACACTACTGCATTCCAGCCTGGGCAATGGCGCAAAGACTCTATCTCAGAAAAAAATGAAAGAAAAGGAAGGAAACAAAATGGCATTGCCATACGATTCTCAGAAAAATTAGTGCTCAGTAAATATTGATAAATGAAGATTCATTAAACGAAAGAACAGTTACTGTTTTCTGTTTTTTTAAGAGACCCGTGGACTCCATCCCCGTGGTTCTTACCACCAGAACATTCATAAAATAGCCTCCCATCAGAGCATAGACTCCTCCTGAAGCTCCCACAAGATATCTGAGTGGGTCAAAGATGGAGCTGGCAAGGGACCCTAAAGAAATAAAACACAAAGGATCAGACATGACTATATGGATCAGGAAAGATAAATCTTTCTAATCTAAGGTAGACATTTGGGAAATTTGGCCTATTATATTAGCAAGCAACAAATCTATTTTGTCCCTTTCATACCATAGAAGTATAGCTGTATATGCTAACTACCACAGTGTTTCTGAAAACATTGAATGTTCATTACAACAGCAACATAACAGTAACAATGGAGAATTGCCTGGAGCCAGAATTACCACCAGTGTGATTTGAGGAAGTTAGTTAACTTCTCTGTGTCTCAGTTTCCCTACCTGCAAAATGGGGCTATTAACAGAACTTACCTCAATGGATTGTCAGGGTAAGTAAATGAGTTGATGTATGTTTCGTGCTTAGAATACTGCCTGATGTGTATTATATATTTGTTAGCTATTCAGTTGGTGCAAAAGTAATTGCGGTTTTGCCATCACTTTTAAGGGCAAAAACTGCAATTATTTTTGCCTCAACCTAATATTATTGCAAAATATCCTATGTTTAGTCAAAACACCTGAGACAATCCAACATGTTACTATCTAATGGCTATCTTTCTCAATGAGCCATAATGTGCCCTCAGAATCCTTCTCAACATACCATCCAATCAGATTCCCCAAGCAAGATGAATCCTATTTGCTAAACTCATCCTAGACTTGCTGGACCAAAACAAA